GTCGCGGGTACCTTTTCATTGACTTTGAGTACACGGATGCGAACTACCGCTGCTTTGACCTTGGCAACACGCTGTGCGAGCTGGACTACGACTACACGCGTGGCACGGAGGCGGGTGGTCGCGGGTTCATCAAGTTTCTGAGCGTGTTCCCGCCCGCGGCGAAGGCGGATGCGTGGCGCGGGCTTGGGGAGGAGTACCCGCGGCTGCCGGAGCTGATCGTTGACGCCTGGCGGCGGGGCGACGTTGACGGGGAGGCGGGGGACGTTGGCACTGCCGCGTTGCAGGCTGTGCGGAGGTACTTTGCGACGAGCAGCGGGGTGCCGGTGAGTGAGGTGTCGGTAAGCGAGGCGCATTTGGTGGAGCTGCTGCTCGGCATGCTGGCGTCGCACCTCCACTGGACGCTGTGGGCAATCGTGATGGGCTGCGTGCCCGACGAGTGTGCCGACTGCGCAGTGGACACGGAGGCATTTGCTCGTGGGGGCAGCGGTCTGGACTACGTGTGCTACGGTGAGTGCCGGCTGCGGGAGTACATGGCACTTCGCCACTGGCTTGTTAGCAACGCATTTATTTAGGTGGCTCTGCGTGTTTGTGTATTTGTGTGTTTAGTTTAGGAGAATTGGTTACATTGGCGGTATAATGTCGTGTGCATTTGAGGGGTCAACGGAGTGAACTCTGCGAGGGAATTCTGTTGTACTTCCATTCACGTTGATAATACACTTGATACATTCTTGGCCGGTATATATATATATATTTAGCTTCTTGTTGTTCTTTGGTTGTGTGGGAGTTGGCATTGTTTTTACTGACGGGGATTTGAATGACGACAGTTACTGTGACTTGTACTTTTCGATGCAGCTGGCACACCTGATACACGAAGTGGAGCATAATAGAAATCACTATTTCCAAGTGAACCTTCCCAAGAAGAGCGGTATTGGCAATCAACTCCACTACAGACCCCATCGGACCCTGCTGGTGCTGGTTGATTTCAGCAAGGCCTTTGACTCCATAGATCATCGAGTCCTCAGTCGCTTGCTGGCTAATATTCCGGGGGTGAATTGTAGAGGGTGGCTTAGAAACTTTCTATGTGGTCGCTACGCGAAGACACGAGTTGGTCACAGACACAGCGATCGGCGTCCCATGCTGCGAGGAGTTCCTCAGGGGTCCGTGCTGGGACCGTATTTGTTCCCCCTTTACGCGCACCCACTTCTCAGTCTGCTGAACAGCTTTGCGGGTGTCACAGCCGACATGTATGCGGACGACCTCTCTATTATCGTTAAGGGGCAGTCCCGGGAAGACGCCATTCCCACTGCCAACATGGTTCTTCAAAAGCTGCATGCGTGGAGTCAGGAAAATGGCCTGGCCATTAACCCGTCAAAGTGTGAAGCTGCTTGGTTCACGCTCTCCACGCACACGGAGTCAGATTATGATCGTGAAGGAAGGTGGCCGCTGGTAGTGGCTGCATGTCAAATCCCAGTCATGACCATGGGGGCATCGCGAACTACGAAGCTTCTTGGCATGGATCTCGATCCACGACTGACGCTAAATGTGGCGGCCACCAAGCAACGCGCTGCCACTTCGCAACGGATATCGCAGCTACGCTGCATAGCGCACAAAGAGGCGGGGGCATCTCCACATGACCGACGCACGTTCGTCATTGGATACGGTGCCTCCAAATTACGCTATGGCAGCGAGCTCATATGGGCAGTAGCGACGGATTCAGCGAAGAATGAGATGCAGAAGACATACGCAACCCTGGCACGCAATGTCAGCGGAGTTCCGAGCACTGTCGACCCGGAATCCGCACTACTGGAGGCTAATATGCCGCCGCTCCACGTCCTTTGCCTGCGCGCGCGGCTCTCAATATTTGAGAACACACGCGCATGTCAGATGGACTGGATGCGGAGACCCCCGCCTGAGCCACCGCCTCGCGCTGGTTTCCGCATCTCGCCATTATCTCGGGACGAGCTATATGCCTTCGTAGACGCATACACAAAGGACTATGGCATCACCGAGAGCTCACCACGCGAAGAGCGGTTCTTTCGCAGCTCCATTCCTCCCTGGTTTGCGGCCTCCGCTCACCGGGTCACCATCGGTGTGGAACTTCCGATAGACCACTCAATCACCGACGAGGAAGAGCTGATACGGGAAAAGCGCAGAGTCAGCGAAGAGTCTCTGGCGCTGCACAGCCATCGTTCGTGGATACTTGCGACGGATGGCGGTGTCGACGTTCCCAAGTCAGCAGGGGTTGGAATACTGCTTTCATCCCTCAACTCATCGGAGATAATAGAAAAGGCCAGTATAAACTGCGGTGCACGCCTATGCAGCTACAGGACGGAATCCCGTGCGCTGCTTCTAGCCCTGGAGAAGCTGATGATTCCTCGTATCCGACACAGGCGTAAAACCCTGCTTGTGGTTACGGACAGTCAGTCTCTTCTAGCGGCTCTAAACAAGGGCCCGCTCAGTCAGACCGACTGGACGGAGGATCAGATCCGGCAGCGTCTCTTGAAACTGACGTGTGCTGGCTGGTCCGTGCACCTGCAGTTTTGTTGCGGACATTGCGGAGTACATGCTAACGAGCCTGCAGATCAGTATGCGACGCAGACTATGGAAAGTGGACAATACACGGAGCACGGAATCGCACCTTTATGGCATACGGATCTGCTGACATGTTTTACTGCCCAGCTCACCAACAAGTGGCGTGGTACCATTCGTCAAGACACTCATCGCTACTTGCTTTGCGGCACGAGGCCATCCGATCTCAGCGGTAAGGACCTGATCACTCAGGAAGTTCTACACCGTCAGGAACTGGTTCGCCTCGCAAGGGCAAGGTGCGGGGGATCTGAGCTCTGGGGCCGACTATACTGGGCTGTGAGAGATTGCACGAACCAATGCCGATTCTGCAACATCTCACCGGAACAGTCTGCATATATGCGCTCTAACAACGATCCAACCGCACCGGGGACGGACACTGTTCCCCCGTCGGCGAGGGAGGAAGACGTCTCTCCAGTAAGGAGACGGACCCTCACACGCCGTCGGAAGGAGAAATGTCCGCACTGTGATTCCACATTGACGGGATTCTCGGGTCTCGTCAGTCACTGTCGGTCCTTTCATCCGGAACATCCCCCACCGCTTCCCGAGCTCAAATGTGATTTCTGTGACATGGTTTTCCCCACACGGAGAAGCACCGCACCGCACAGAAGTCGCTGCGCACACAACCCAGACGCCACACGACATCGAAACAGCAGTGCCAGGAGGCGATCTCTGCTGCCGCAGGATCAGCCAGCTTCCACAAGCACGCCAATTGGCCCGCAGGAAACCTTGCACCATCTGCTTCTAGAATGTCCAGGCACCTTGGCTGTGCGTCAACGGCTGGGCATTGAACAGGACCTTTGCCTCGGAAAGTTCTCTCAATGGCGGTTGCTTCATAGCAGGAAACTTTTGTCGTTGCTCGACCACCTCCTAGGCACTCAGATGGCATTTTGTATAGCTAGACGCGCTGGTAAGAGTAGGGGAAAAAAAAAAAAAAAATAAAAAAAAACTTGTACTTTTGTGATACTTATTTATTTATTTAATTTTTTTCTCTTTTAGTGTCTTGCGGTGAGATTTCTTTTTTACTGTTTAATTTCATTGTGGTAGAGGCACTTGCGTACGTATAATTCAATGCATAAGCATATATATATATATATATGTACATACATAGATGCATGCATGTATGCCTGCGGAACGGAGGGAGAGGGGGGTGAGAGAGAGAAGCGGGTGGAGGTGGTGGTGAGGAGGAGGAGGCGCAAGAAGTTATGAAAAGAAGAAGTGTTCATGTACCCATCTTTTTGTGTAAAGAGGGAGGGGATAAGGGAAAGGTAGGTGGGTGGGTGTTTTTTGTTCGCCGTGCAGAAATGTGACCTTTCTTATGTACAGGTGTTCTTTTTTTTTTTTTTTTTCTATTTTATTTTTATTTTCATCTCTCTTACCTGATAATATACATATGTATATATATGTATAATATATAATATATATTTTCTCTGTTGTCTGTTTGAACTTTAAAGGCTACGCAGAACTGTGAGCTTTTTTTTTTTTTTTTTTGTTGTTGTTGAGTGTGTGAGTTATGGCGGAGGCTGAATCGCATGCCTACGAGGAGATGTTGCGTGCGTACTGGAGCCGCCGTGAGTCTGTGCGGCGGGAAGAGGGCCGTCTTTATGAGCTGCAGCGCATCATACTCGCCCTGCACAATGTTGTGTGGAGGTGATCTACAGAGGATGAGGATGAACGGACACACACACACAGAGAGAGAGAGAGAGAGAGAGAGGGAGGGGTGTTGGATGGGTGCATACATGTACGTACACATATGACACGAACAGATTAAATACGAAAGAAAAGAAAAATAATAATAAAAAAGAAAAAATAATTGAATGAGACGTAATGACACATTATTATTATTATTTTTTTTTTTTGGGGGGTTGATTTGATGCATTTCTTTGACTTCTTTTATTTTTATTTTATTTAAATATTATTTTATCTTTTTATATTTTTGTCCTTGTGCCTATCTGCATGGCGTTACTATCAATTTGGGTTTTTTTTTTTTGTTTTCTTTTATCTCTGCACGAAATGTGTGTGTGTGTGCCTGAAAGAGAGAGAGAGAGGGAGAGAGAGGGAGACTGTTGCCTTTCTGCAGGCATTATCCACCTATATATATATATATTATAAGCATACATATAAATACATATATATTTATATTATTATTATTATTATTATTATTATTATTATTGGGCAGTGATGTCGTCGAAGCGTGTGGCGCTGGTGACAGGCGGGAATCGCGGCATTGGGTACGCGGCGGTGCGTCGCATGGCGCAACTTGGCTACTGCGTCCTGCTTGCTGCTCGTGATGTTCAACGTGGCGAGGCAGCAGCGGCGTCGCTTCGCGCGGACGACATGGACGTGCAATTTTTGCATCTTGTCATTACCGATGAGGATTCTGTTGCCACCGCGGCACGTGAGGTGGAGGCGCGGTACAAACGGCTGGATGCCCTCATCAACAACGCCGCTGTGATGGACTACGACAACCACATCACCCCGTTGAATGTGCCCCGCATGCGGGAGGAGTTTGAAGTGAATTTTTTTGCTGCCGTGATGGTCACCAATGCCTTTTTACCGCTGATGCTACGCACATCCGACGCCCCACGTATTGTTAATGTCAGCACACCCCTCGGTACCCACGAGACGGTGGAGCATCCGCACAACAGGTACGGCAGTCCACTCTTTACAAGTTACAAGTGCACAAAGGCGGCACTGAACATGTACACGCACAATCTTGCCTACTGGCTGCAGACGCAAGAGGAAAGCAGCGCCAAGGCGGCGAAGGTAAATGCAGCATATCCCGGGTATGTACGAACAGATATGTCGCGAAACCGTGCAGAGGCACCCATGGAACCAGATGAGGGGGCTGAGACTTTGGTTTATCTCGCCACACTACCGGCGGATGGGCCTACCGGTGGCTTTTTTCACAAGAAGGAGCCGCTTGCATGGTGAGGGGAGAAGCCATTTTGGCTTCAATGATCTCCTGTAGAGGACCCATGATGCATCATGATATATATATATATATATATGAGGATGATTTATTCTTTTTCTTCTTCTTCATTTTTGTTAAATTTTTATTTTTATTTTTGACTTGTGAGGGAGGGGGAATATTTTGAGGGCTTTGTGCTCCGTCATTTTTCTTTTCTTTTCTTTTTCTGTTTATTACGGTCCGTGTCGCTCTTTGTGTTGGTGCCAGTTATTTATGGAAATGGAGTTGTTTGTATTGTTGGTGGCAGCGTCTGAATGAACGACATTTGTATTGCCTTTGTAGAACATTTTGCCTCTTGTCATTCATAAGAGTGAATGACATGTGTTTGTATGTACATGAGTGTATGTGTGTAATGGCTTGGGCTTTTGATGATGATGATGATTATTATTATTATTATTATTTGTTTCTGCAGGGCTTCTCTCTCTCTTTTTTTTTTTTTTTGTGTGTGTGTGTGTCTCTCCCTTTCACAGCACTTTGCGTGTGTTTCTCTGCGGCGGCGGCGGCGACATGTCGGGCGAGAAGACAGTTGTTGTGCATTCGAGCGTTTGTCCAGACGAGGAGGAACTCCCCAGCGCTGTCCAAACGCCGTCGTTGCATCCCGCCCAAACCTCCACCGTCTCCGTTGGGGCCGACGACGAAGACGAATTTGCCATCACGTACGTTGCGCAGAAGAGTGCGCCGGTGAACATCGCCAGCGCGCGATCGGCCCCGCAGAAGCGGCTTCGCAACAGCGCGGTGGAGCAGACGTCTGCCTCTCTTGACACGGACGCGATGGAATCCAAGCCAGACGACACGGACCATCCCCACGACCGCGCAGAGTACATGCGTTGGCAGGCACGGGATGCCGCACGGCCAAAGAAGTTGCTGCTACAATGAGTGTTGCGCATAACTTTTTCTGTTGACTTCCATCCGTCTGTGGTTTTTTTTTTTTTTTCTTTTTTTCCCGCACGGACACGCCTTCTGTTCCTCGCTTTTTTTTTTTTTTTTTCTTTGTTCTGCATGTAACTGCGTAGATTGTTATTGTTTCTGCGACCGCTGCTTTCCTTGAGGGGAGAGGTGGGGTGGGTGCTACACGGTAGAGGCTGCATTTGGAATTAATGTGTTTGTTGTATTCCCCCCTCCATATGTTTATTATTGTTTCCATTCCTTTTTGTCTTTACACGTAGCAGGGAGACATCTCTTGTGCCAATTCATGTCTTGGCCGACGTGGGTGTTAAATGAAACAAATCGAAAGATCCAGCAACGCATAGACCACATTGCATATGAGTTACAGAATAAATTTTCGGATATTGAGTTGGAACGGGAGGCCGTCGCCGTGCTGCAGAGGAACTTGGCGCAGGTGAAGCAACATGTCCTTTCGAGAACGAAGGCCGCCGTCGAAGATCAAAAGCGCCTGCAGAGGGACGATGATGCGCTGCAGATTCTGCAGCGGGAGGAGTCCCACAGCCGTGCCGATCTTCATGCGTTGAAGAGTCGTCAAAAGGAGGTCCAGGAGTTGCTGCAGGGAGTGTCACGTGCGGTGCAGGCCAAGGCGAAGGCTCTTGAGAAGGAGCATGTCATATCGGAGGTGCTGGAGCAGACAGCGCTGGAACTTTCTGCCGCTTCTGCATCGCAAAAAAATGCTCATGAGGCTCAGCGGGATTTGGAGCGGCAGCGCCACCGCTTGGAGCGGGTGCAGGCATCATTGACAGGAGCCCACAATTCTCTTCGCATGTCACAGAGCGCGCTGCAGCGGGGGGAGGAGGAGTTTGCGCAGGTGCAGGGGGAGCTGCGGGCCCTCCGGCTGAATATTGTGAGGGGCAAACAAGACAAAACAGAGTCGTGGCTGGCGGTGTCACGCGTGCAGGAGGCGATAACGGTGTGTGAGACACAAACTGCGGCGAACACGGAGGCGTACGCCAGCGGGGAACAAACCCTGGCGGCCCGTCGGGCTCTTCTTGATCAGCTGCAGAAGAAGCATCAGGAGCTTTTGGCGCAGCAGCAGACGATCTCCAAGAGCATCGATGTCCACAGAAGAAATCAGCACGCCTTGCTTGCCCGTCTTCACGCTTCCACGAGCGAAGCACAAGAGCAGGAGAACGCAACGGCTGCGACGCAAAGACAACTAGCGGCCCAGCGAGATGTGCGGCAGCAGGCGCTGCTTTCGTACCGCAACACGCTTGCGCTTTGGGATGGGCGTAACGCACAACTGCAGGAGTTGCTTTTGCGCTCAAGGGAGCTTGAGTGTCTTTGCAAGGAGACACGAGTGGGCGGCGGTGTGCAGTCGACACGCGCCTTTGAGGATACACGTGCCTCACTGCAGCGGGGCCTCCAGCAACTGGATGATCGAATCGTGCGAATTCGTGCGGCGACTTTGTCGTGTCTTTCAGATCTTCAGCAGGAAGGCCGATTTGCCGAGGAGATAAATTACGACGTCACCAAAACAAGAGAGGCTTTGGCTGCCGCAGAAAATGAACTTGCGGCACGGCGGCAATCTCGTGACATGTGTCAAACCCACCTTGACGCTCTGGAGGCACGATTATCATCCATGAAGTTGAAGCTGGAGCAAGCACGGGATTTGGTGCGGGAGAAGGATCGGCATGAGCAGACAGTCTTGGAGGGTGTTTTGCAGGAGCTGCAGGCCCAACTCCATCGCTTGACGCACCGCGGCCTTGCGCTTCGGCGGGAAATCACACCGCTGCAGTGCGCCTTAAACGCCCATACCAGAAGTGCGGACGACACAAAAGAGAAAATTGCCGCCCTCACGGAAGTGGTGCTTCAGCGAAGGGCGGAACTTCGTGCAATCGAGTCTGACGCTGTGCGTCTGGCGAAGGAAAAGGAAACGGCTCTTTTACACCACTCGAGGGCGACGTTGGAGTTGCGGTCCGTCCGTCGTGTCGCCGAATCACATGTGGAGTGGATGCGTGGGTCCGCGACTCTCGAGGACATCCTCCGCGGACAGGCGCTAGTACTGGAGGAGACGGTTCTTGCAGACATAAAGAACGCCGTTGTGGAGCTTCATCTCGAGCAAAAGGCCCAAGCGGAGAAACAGGCGGAACTTCGACGATGCCAGGAGCAGTTGCAGCAATTGAAGGGTCGTTACCAGAATGTCATGGAGTCGATGAGCCGAAGAATGGTTGCGGCGGGCGGGATGCAGGAGGGGGAACCGCACGCACCATCCATCACATCTTCACCAGAGACACTGCAGGCTCGTTGTATTCTTCAATCGTCGTCCGATCGCGAGCGGTTAAGGGAGCGGGGGAACTTTCTTGATGGGCGTATCGTCTTTCTTGAGCACGAGACAAAAACGCTACGGAAGATGCTCCACGCCTTGCGGGCAGGCAGAGGAGGGAGGCAGAGCAGCGCATCAGGACCCATGGCGCATCCCAAGACGGAGGGGGAACTGCTTCGATTGCGCGAGGGCGTGAGGGAGACTCGTCGCAGCGTGGAGATAGAGTTACAATGTGTGGTGGAAGTGCTGCGAACGTTGCAATCACGCAAGCGGGACCTCAGCCGTCGCCTCAAAGACGTTGCCAGACGGTTGACTGAACTGCAGGCCATTAAGCGTAACCGCGAGTCGGTGGTGCGACGCTTAAAGACTCAAATAAAGCGGTCTCAGCCAAATTTGAAGCAACGGTCTTCACTCATCTACACTCAACAGTAAAATTGCTGCAGATGGTGGTGCTGCAGACGGGACGGTAACATGTGCATTCCCCCACTTACCCCACTCAACACCCCACCATACAGACACAGACCTTATGGTGTTACAACTGTGAGACTCAGTCATACGCGGCTGGTCCGGTGTGTGTGTGTGTGTTTTGCGCCAATGACAACAATTCCATGAAGGAAACATTACCGGCTATTGGCTTTTCCCCCATTGGGTGATACGGGTGCGTGTGTGTAATGGACCCTGGCGTACCACGATGATGTTTCCGGCATTGCCAGGAGAGTGCGCAGGTGGCAACCACATCATCCTGTTTACACGATGCGGAAGAGATTTCCTTTTTTTTTTGAACATGCCATTCCCATGCGTGAACTCGAGGAAACAACTGGATGAGAGTATGCGCGCAAGTGTGTGGGAGAAGAAAAAAGGGAGGTGAGACAGTCCACTGGAAGGCAAAAATTTTTGCGGCCCTCAATGGCTGCCGTAATCCTCATCACCAGGCCCTTCTTCTTCTTCTTCAGCAGCAGCAGCACCAGCAGTAATATTTGCTCTTTTTCCTTTTGTTTTTGTTTCATTCCAAAAACAAATCAGAAATACCAAAAATAAAGAAGAAAAAGGAGATAGACGGAGAGAAGCAACGGAGTAGTGCTCACATGCTTGTGGCGGCCATAAGTCTCACACTGGGCAGCGGTACCCTGGTCGGGGTGGCGCTGCCAAATTACGCCCCGTTGATTTTATAGCTAACTGCAACATCGTGGTGCCAGGGCCGGTTGCCCTGTATTATCCAGGGAAGCCAGGAGCCAGCAATGCTTCCCTCATGGGATTGTTGTTGCTGACGCAGGGCTGACGGCATCGACCAGCGCCCGGACCGGCCGCGTACTACTGGGGCACACAGTTGTAACACCACGAGGTCTGGGGGCAGGTGTTGCCGTGCCGTCTGCGGTCCATCGGATTTGTTTGAGAAAACACGAGAAAAAACATAATAATGATAAATTCCCCTACGCCCTTACACGCTCTCCGCCCCTTTTTCTTTTGCCTAGACTCTCACAACAAAAGCGACCATGGCGAAGCCGAAACTGCTGACGCTGAGGCGTAAGCTGAAGCGAGTTGCCGTGCTGTTGATTCTCTTCATTGTGGCCACGACTGTTTTCTCTCTGAGGTTTGACACCGCTGCCGATGATGACGCGCCGGAGCCAAACAACCCCCGCCATTCGCGAGCCGCTGCAGTGGACGACGTAGCACTTGCTTACATCCCACGCAGTGTTGTGGATACGTGGAGCCGGCGGGAGTACCTGATTGTGCTGGGCATTCTCTCCCCGGACGAAGAAGTGAGGCGAAGACGACGCAAACTGCAGCGGTCGACGTGCTGGCGGTTCCCCGGAGTGGCGACGAGGGCGAACGACTTCACCGGTGCGATGCTCGTGCTGTACGTTATTGGGCGACACCCGTCGCACGGCTACGACTACTCTGCCGCGCTGCTGGAGGAGGCGGCGCAGTGGAACGACGTGGTTGCGCTGCCAATGAACGAGGGCCTCGTGTCTCCAGGAAAAATAGCGGGCGTTGGTGGAGAAATTGGGACTGAGGCGGAGATTGGTATGAGCCAAAAGGTGTACATGTGGTTTGACCTTGCGCTCCGTCTGTTTCCGACCGCGAGTTACATTGCGAAGGGCGATGACGACATGTTTCTCCGTGTGCCGCTGTTCGTTGCTCACCTACGCCTTCTGCCGCGCCGAGGGGTCTACATGGGCGCTCATGTTGGAAGAGGATTTCAGGTGAATAAACGCATAGTGGGCGTGTCGTTTATGGTTGGCTGGTGCTACACTTTGTCGAGGGATGTGGCGGAGGCGTTGGTGTCGTACAAGCCTCTGAGGCGCCTGGCGCACCTGCCGTACAGTAAGGAGCGTCAGGAGGAGTTTTTATCAATTGGTATGGGTCAGGAGGACATGATGGTTGGGTTTGTGTTGGTGAATGAGGTGCAGTACAAGCCGTTGATATACGTCAAGGTGCTGCCCTGTCACTTTTACAACATCCGCGATGACTCTGGGGAATCCCATGTGGTGCCGACCTCGATTTGTGTCCATCACTTACGGGAGGAAGAATACACTGCGCTCATGGCGCGCTTCGGCAACGACACATCGCCTGTTGCCCGTGTGGAACGGGTCTCAGAAGACGTGATATACCCCTGTTGCGATTGACAAATGAAAGAAATGAATGTTTTTCTGTGCGTGTTGAATCTTAAGGTATTGCTTGATTGGTTGCTGCATCCCGGTTTGTGCCCTATGTGCTCTGTGGCCTAACGACGTGGAATGTGTCATTGACCGCTCAGCGTCCCCGTGGAGCGTTCCACTCCCTGCCCTCGACCCGTTGGCGGGAGGAGGGGGTGGAGCCATTGGGCGCCCGCTGCGTTGTGCCGCGGGTGTGCTTCTGCTGGGGGCATGTGATGAGGATGTGCGTGTTTGGGCCGGGCTGCCAATGAACGATGTATGTAGGTTTTTCCCCTATCCTGTAGTTTTGTTAATTGTGCGATTGGGACATGGAGTGGATTCAGTTTTTTTTTTTGTGTGCGTTGCTTGTTTCGTCCTTTTCACTCCAGAGCCCTCACTTTTTGGTGGGTGGTTGCAGTTGGGAGCGGTTGGGGACGTATTTTCGTGTGTGTTCGTGTGATGTCTTTGTTAACGGAGCGTCCCACGGTGCGACTGCTGCCAGTGCTGGTGGTGTGGCTCCCGGTGTGGGGAGAGTGCGTGCCGTGACGCCCTCCCCGCCGCTGGTGTACCCAGAGGGCGGGGCAACGCCACTGGCCCACGGCCCCTGCTTGCTGACGACGCGGCTTTCCTTTTTTTTTCTCCTTCTTTTGTTCCTCTGTAGCAGTGTGCGCAGGATAGGGGCGGTGCGGCCGTGCTTGCGACGTGTGCGGAGCGGCGCTGTGCGGGCTGGGCGACGGCTGTGCGTCGATGGCGCGTGCCGCGGTGGGGACGATTGCGAGCTGGTGTCGAGTCCACCGACTGGAGGGAGAAGGAGCTGCTGCGCGGGCGGACGGGGATCAGACGACGGGTGGACTGTCTGGTGGGCGGCGGGCCTGCGGTGGCTCCCTGCGTCGTGCGGGACGCTGCTGGTCCCATCTGAGAGAAGTGCGCGCCGCTTCTTGCGGCGACGGTGTGTGCGGCGTGCTGTGCGGCGCACCGGTTGTTTGTGGACGACACCTTGGCTTGGCGCGTGTTCTTGCGGAGGGCATTGTTGGTGGTGGATGCCAGCAGGAGCTGTGCGTACTGGCAATGCCGGCTACTTCATCGTGGTGCCAGGGCCGGTTGCCCTGTATTATCCGGGGAAGCCAGGAGCCAGCAATGCTTCCCTCATGGGATTGTTGTTGCTGACGCAGGGCTGACGGCATTGACCAGCGCCCGGACCGGCCGCGTACTACTGGGGCACACAGTTGTAACACCACGAGGTCTGGGGGCAGGTGTTGCCGTGCCGTCTGCTGTCCATCGGATTTGTTTGAGAAAGCACGAAAAGAAAGAGAAACATATTGTGTACGCGTCCTTCGGGCGTGAGACAGGCTTTTATGGGTGGTTGTTTTTTAATTATTTTGTGTTTGGCGATTCACATATTGGAAGCTAATACAGCGTCCAGAAGGGTTTTATCATTGCAGTAATTATTGAAAGGCGGAGTGCACTTCTTACCACGCCGGCGTATTGGGACGAAAACACGAAGCAAAAGGTTGCGTGCATGGTTTTCAACCGACATGCAACGCGTTTATGATTTTGACTCTCAATATTTACTGCGGGTGGTGACGTTATCTCCAGTGTCCGGCTTTATGGCGTTGGCAACGAATTTATTTCACTGTTCGAAAGGAGGTCTGATGGAGTGTCATACATTCTTGCTTCTGTGCGCCTGACTGAGCAGATGAACTGGATAATGGATGTGGAGAGGAGCCGGAAGGAAGTGGACACCGCCCTACGGACCTGCAGGCCCAATGGCAAGGTTGATCTGCGTACAAAAGGTGTGCGTAATTGTCCTGCTTCCAATGAGGGGCTTGTTGGCTGTTTGGTAACGTAACCGGTACCGAGCGGAGGGACGAGTACCTCTGCGTGAACGCAACCGTTCATGGGGCATTGACAGGCGCGGAGCGGGGTGTGACGCTCGAATTCGCTGGGGCAGGAACTGAGTGGCTTGTTGGCAAACTGGCGCATAATCAGTTGTGTAAATTTGTGAACAGCATTTCCACTCTTTTGGCGACAGCGAATATCCACGGTGTGTCAAAGGAGGGCAGCAGTACTGTGCTCTTGGGCCTCTCGTAAACGAAGGACAGGAGGTGTGAGGTAACATTGAACGGTAAGAGGTCCGGCGTTGTTAGACGATGATGGTCGGTAATTTGGGAACATCAAGCAGAAGGTAACAGGGTGGCCGTGAGGGAAATGTGTGTAAACGACGAATGGTATGTGTACGTGTTGGTCGGAAGACTATTTGCGAAGAGGTCTATTCTGGCTTTTTCCCCAATTCGAGTAGGAACTCACACGCCTCCACATTGGTGGGGAACAGCGGGATGACGGGAGAGAGCAGTCCTTTGACGGTGCACAACGTTTTTTTTTTTGTACATCCGCGAACTGGCGGAGAAAGACATCGAGAGACTCATAGCCAGCAACGTCACGCTTCCAACACCACCTGCTGCTGGCAAATCCACCCACAGAGTTGGAGGGTCAGACGGTATCCGGCGGTGCTGTGAGGGCCACTTCCGAGCGGAACGTTTGAGGCAAATTTTCGTTAACGATATGTGGGCGGGTGCATAAATGTGTATCCATCCGCGGTTACAAGGTCTGCTTCTCAGGCAGGAAGGCACAAGGGGCACTGTTTCTGGGAATGCCTCCACCCAGGATACGGTAAATCCACCATCACTTTATGCACCCAAATTCCCCAATACCTGCAGAGGAACAACTGCGAACCGACGAAGACGAATCAGCAGACAAAAAATGCACGAACACCGCCTGCAACGGCAATGAAAAGCGATGGACTCATTGACGCTGGACTACCCTGTGGGGATCATATCTCTTCCACGACGAAAGATGAAAAGAAGGGAAAGGGAAGGTGGTGGCGAAAGAAGGAGCCGACTGGTGATGGTGAATCGAGGTCGCCGCAGCACGAGGCCACTGTGCGCCAACTGCGGCAAGGCAACCCGCTTACGGCTGAGAGTGAAGATGTGCCGTTCCATGTACCTGAGACCAGCAGTGAAAAACGCACGACTGACCTCAAAAGAAGAAGACGCTGCTCGCGAGGCAACAGTGGGTTCAGATACCAGTCCTGCTCCACACAATGGCGCCGAACGGAATTCCACGAGGGACATCCCCAAGAATTCCTAGTCTGGTGCAGCTGAAATTCCTCTTGGAAACGATAAGGAGGGGCGCCACAGGGAGTTGACACTGCACCGACTAATAAAAGCACCAAATTTGAAACAGATGCGATTTGCTGAACGCACAATGCAGCACCGTTTTCTGGCAACTGCAACGTTAATTTCTGGAACATTACTGGCTTGAGACTCCATGGAGGAGACGGTGACACCACCGTGCATGCGTGTGTGCCTCGCGTGTTACTGCTTTTCCTGCTGGGGTTATGGGGCATGACAGCCATCATTTGAATAAAAAGGGAGGGGTGAATTTGCGAGGCCTCATGAAAAATGACAAATTTTTTTTCCCCGGAGCTATTCTGTGCACTTTGAGGAATCTTTTTTTTTATTTAAAAAATTTCTTGCGGGGTTGAGTTCTTTTTTTTCTCTTCAGAGTTTATTCTACAACAACGTGCCGCGACTTGTTTCCGTTTGTGCTGTGCTCCACTGCCACTTTGTGTTACCGTGTCCGGTTGAGTGTCCTTCTGCCGGCTGTGCTGCTGACATGCCCCCGTTTCCTCCTCTTTTCTTCCCTGCTATAGGCACCGATTGTCCGCAACGACGATTGTTTGTGTTCCCCTCTGCGATGGGACGGGAGCGACGGGGTGCCCGGCTCGGCTTTCTGCTTCTTCTGCAAAGGGAGGGGACGGTCTGCGGCGTGCCTCACTGTGGGTGTGCGGGGCACCATCCATTGCAGCCTGCTGTGCGGCATGATGCCAATCTGTGAGGACAGAGCCGTGGCCGACTGTGCCGTGCGCTTGGGTGCGCCCCGTTCTTCTCGTTGCGGCTGCCTGCGTGCTGTGCGCACGGCAGTTTCTTGCGGAGCAGCGTGGATGACGCTGCTTCTGCGTGCGCTGTGCGGCTGACTCCTTCTCCACGTTTCTTCACCCTCGCACGAGGGGCGTCGTCCGTCACCCGCCCGTGGGAGGCTGTCATGTGCGCGACCTTTCTTTCCTTCGTCCCCACACGCGTCTATTTGAGGGGTGCGGCTCCGAGTGCTCTTTTCGTCTGTTGTTTTATACATCCGTCGTCGTCACGGGGGCGGTGCCACAGGAGCGGCGGCGGAGCGGCTGCGCTGGAAGGTGCGAGTGTCGCCAGGGACAAACGACTGGCGGCGACGAGGCGTAAGTGCCCGGCAGAGCGGTTGGGTCCTGTTGCATCCGGTTGTTTGTTTTATTTGGCAGCGAAGTGCCCCGCTTTCTTTCCTGACGGGCGTGGGATTCGCTCGGTGTGTGTGTGCAGACAGTGCCATTGCTTCTTTTTTTTCTCCCGCTTTTTTGCACCTCCTCACCTTTCACACACACACACGAAGGAGGAAGGCGATCAAAAGCTAATTGCTACTGTGCACTTTGAAGGCACTGAACTGCACATCAACAACACTTCTACACATTTACATAGACTCACTTGTTGCTGCTGTCAAGGTACCCGACGCACACACAACCGTTGCCGTGTGACTGGATCCAGCGGAAGGAGGCGAGAGTGAACAACAACGACCCCAAATGTCCCGGCGTTTGCTTAATTCCGCGGCGCTGCTCCTTCTCTTTGTGTTGTTGTGCCGCGGCGTTGACGCCTCCGGGGGTGCGGGGGAGCAGATGGAGTCGAAAGAGGTTGAACTCTTTAGACCAGAGGAGGTAACCGTGCCCGCTGCAGGAGAAGAGAGAGAAACTCTTGATGATTATTCACGTGTCTTATCATTCCACTGTCATTCCCTCGTTGACGTGAACGGCGCGATGCTTGCACTTGCCATTGGTGTGTATGGCAGAAGTTATGACGACATGTATTATAAAATTTTGGCAAAACACAACTCGTACGGGGACGTCAGTAATTTTGAAAAAGACGTTACGTGGGCGGCAAAGCAGTGGACGCCGAAGACTGTGTTTGAGCAATTCGAAAAAGGTGGATACCGTACGTTTCTGTTTGGCCCCAAGGCTGTGGTGAAGGCGAACAAAACATTTCTTCTTTTGTCAAACGTTACCGACCGGTACAGTGTGTCTTTCCAGACTCCATATTTTTGGGACCTTGAGTTGTTTGTGGGTGACGTTACGGCGTCCACGGCGGTACCAGGGGGGAAAACAGTGTCGTGGGAGGGCCCACGGTCGTTGAAGTCCACGCTACTCACATTGATGGGGAAGTATTCATGGAATGTGTTGGAGGCCGCTCGTGGGACCAGAGGCATTGCAGTTGGGGGCACGACGGTTGTCTTCCCTCTTTTTGCAGTCAGCGAGAAGGCAGGAAAAGAGGAGAGAACCTGCACAGTCATCTACTCCGAGGACGATGGGGACACTTGGACATTTCCGGACGCCGCTGCGATTGCTAATGACTGTATGGATTTCACTCTCCTCGAGTGGCAGGGGAAACTTCTCATTGTCACCTCGGGTTCTGTTATTCCTCAGCTGCTCAGGGTGTACGAATCCGTTGACATGGGAAAGACATGGGCAAAGATGGTGGGGCCATTTCCACGCCAGTTGAGTCAATTAGGTTTGTTCCCCATGCACCCCAGTGGCACTGACATCATAACGGCAACCATTGGGAGCAAGAGTGTGCTGTTGTACACCCAGATGTTGTTCCAGTATGTTCCAGGAGATACAAAAGATGTACGCAGAGTAATGCACCTGTTCCTCTCTGATTTTGTTCACGCACATGACGTTGGACCAATATTTCCTGGTTCTTTTGATCCAAGCCCTTTCATCACCCTGCTGTACACAAAAGGCGAGTTGTTTGCTCTCCACGCGAAGTATGGTGAGTATGGAGCATCAGGCAGTCTTTTTTTCACGCGCCTCACGGAGCAGATGCGGCAAATCAATTCCCTGCTGCAAACTTGGGAAGCTGTGGATAACG